GAGCGGGAGGCGGCTCCTGCTGCGCTGGAGCAGCGGCAGTACGAATTCCCAAGGGGACTACGCGGGAATTATTCTGCACTCACACCCACACCGCGACTTTTTTTTTTTTTTTTCGTTAAAGGGCATATTTACAAATTATATGGTTTGGGGATCGTAGACTTTTTTTCCCTTCAGATTTAAGGAGAGGGGGAAAAAATCGTACTTTCACTGATATCGGAAACGAAGAAATAATTTGTGAGGCAACCAAAGCAACAAATATAGATTTCAAGGCTGCCCTTTTAAAATCTATTTTATGAAATTTAGTTAGGATGACATGGCACTGCCATCCTTTCTTTCTTTTACCCCTCCCACAAAGCAAAAATCGTGAAATAAAACTGCTTAAAGCAGGAGAGAGGTAGAGGAAAATAAACCGTATTTCAAAGGAAAATAAAATATTCCGTTAATAACCAAATGTGGGGCCATCACACACACCTACAGACAGAGACTTTGAGAGACGCTTGTAAATCTTTTGGGACTGGTGTGGGCAGAGTTTTTCCTGTAATGCTGGGCTTTGTAAGCTCAGTATGAGACCCTTCTTTCCCGGAAGGCAGAACGGCAGCAGCGCTGCGAGTCTCCCTGCAGTTGTTCAGCGGGAATTGATCTCCACGCACGCCTCTCCGGGCACCCACGACGAAGAGGCATTGTGCTGGTGAGGAAGGCAACAGCCTGGCACGGAGGGAGCGTCTCTCCTCCCCGCTAAAACTCAATTAGCAAGCTGTCCTCACTACAACTCCCCCTTATTGAATTAATAAGTCTGAGTAGACCCAAAGGTAAACGAAGGGACTCTCATAATTCATATTCACTTAATTACATCTTCTGCCATGAATAGAGGAGAAAGAAAGGGGGTGTCTTTCTGTTAAAAAAGTTATTTAACTTTCCCACGACTTGTTCCCCTGAGCTGAAAATACTGATTTGCTGTCACATCTCTGTTTGACAATGGAGAAATGTGTCAACAGAAAGGAGGGGACAAATCTCATCATTAGCCCCTCTAATGCAAGAAGCTGTTGTGTATTAAATGAGCCATATGGAATTTATTATGCTTTATCAGCGCCCGATTTTAACTGTAAAGTGATTTGCTCAGCTTCAAACCCAGAGACATCTGTTTTCTGTTGGCAATCAGGGCATCCCAATGTTTATCGTCTCTTTGGTTATGAGACCCGGGTTGGGAAATGCACTCTGGTATGGGGCGGCAAACACCTTTAATAGCATTGCACTCACTCACTATTAGATCAATGCAGGCTTATTGCTATCAAAAATGGGAAATCAAATAGCATTAGCCAGCTCCTTGTGCAGGCGGAGAGGAAATCAAACAACATTTCGCCTTCAAATGGCCCTGTTTGTTCTAGCACTAAGTGGGCTTTTATGAAGCCCGATTGGAGATTTGATGGCAGCCAAATACCCGACTTGCGGCCGAGCGGGTTTCTAACAACCGAACCGGGAGCCCTGAGTTTAACCACACGGGGATCCGCCAGCCGATGGCTCGGCCCT